CTCACAGCTGGTGGTGTCAGTTCAGCTTGGACAAGGCCTGACACTTGTCTCAGGACAGCAGAAGTATTTGGTATGTTGTAAGATCACAAATATGTTCTGATTAGGAAAGTCAGCCTGAAATACCAGTTTCTGAGGGATCAGAGTGGCTGCCCTGTGCTCTGTCTCCTCGTGTAGCCCAACCTGGCTTTTCTTCCATGACACACACAGGATGTATTTCCCTTCCTGCTGCTGCTTTATCTCCAATACCTTGAGTCAGTAAAGATAGCAGAGAACTGGAAAATACTTACAAAACTCCTGTGGCTGTAGAAATACCTTGTGTTCCTGAAGCTGAATCTCTTTTCTTTCAGGAGATAGAGCAGGGAGGGAATCATCCCCAATTTCTTGCTGTATTTGTTCTCATTCTAAAGATCTGTGCCATGCTGCTCTTACCTCTCCTGCCTGAACAACAGGACCCTTTTTTTTCCTGTTGCAGACTCCATCCTGTGAAGCCAATGAATGCCATGGCAAACAAACCTCAGAGCAAGAACCTGAATGTCATCAGCACCATGAATGAAAAGCTGCTGGAAATGAGTGTGAAGGTATGGAGGGAAGCGGCACTTTCGCTGCCCAAGCTTTGATTTATTTGAAGAGTTTGATTTATTTGAAGAGTTTGTGTATTCCAGATAGTTGGGACATGAACATCCTTTTGGTCAGCCCCCAAGAGTGGGAGCAGTCCTTCAATGTTGGTTTTCTTGCAGACTGACTGTAAATAGAGCTGGGGTTTGTGTTTTGTGGGGGAGATTCTCAGCACAGCCACTTCCTTGGAGCCCACTCGTGCAGCTGGGTCAGCAGTGGGATTGAGAGGAGCTTTCAGCATAATCCTGGTCTCAAAAGAGACCTCCAGGTTTGAACACAGCTTCCCTGGCAGGCTGATCATAAAGGCTGGGACCATCCCTGGCTCAGCAGGGAAAATCACAGCTCCCCTTACGGTTTGTCAGGGTTTTTTGGGGAAATAGGGAAGTTAGAACTGAAATAACAGCAGTGCCTCCTCCTGGTGAGAGGGGAGAGGATGAGAGTTGAGTGATTCAGACTGACAAGGGGTTCAAAACTTGCAGTGGGTGTTGTGGTGTTGTGATTGCACCTAAATTGTGTGTGATGCCCTACAGGAGCCTGTTGTGCTCACACTCCCTGCCTGGGCAGTGTTCTGGGAGCTGGAGGAGTCAGCAGAAGCTGCCCAGTACTTTAGGGAAAGTGCAGAGGGTCTGATGCTGCTTGAGGGTTAAAACCAGATTATTTTCAAAGGAATAGGAAGAAACAGCAAAGGCCTGGGTGGGTGTTTCTTGCTGTCTAACCTGAATTTGGCTTTCCCAGTGTGCATTTAAGCAGCTGCTTTGAGCTTTCCCAGGTTTGTTTGGCAGCAGCTGTCACTGGGCTGGTCTGTGTGTTGTGTGTCTGGTTTGGAATGTGCTGTGCCTGCTCTGACCCTGCCTTCCCTCCCTCCCTCCCAAGAAATACGATCCCTCAGACCCTGCCTATGCCTATGCTCAGCTGACACACGATGAGCTGATCCAGCTGGTGCTGAAACAGAAGGATACCATTACCAGGAAGGACCTCCAGGTGCGGGAGCTCGAGGATTACATCGACAACCTGCTGGTCAGAGTCATGGAAGAAACCCCAAACATCCTCAGAATCTCCATGTCTGGCAACAAAAAAGCTGGGAAGATGTGAAGGCTCTGGTGGGCAAGGACTGAATCCCCCCAGGGCAGGGTGAGGAGCTGGTGGTGCTGCTCACAGAAAATGACCTTTTCCTGTTCCTGCCTTGAGCAACCCTCGGATTGATCAAGAGTTCCATCAGGTGTTGTAATCAAGTCACCTTACTGTATTTATTTTTTGGTTTCTTCCCATTATTTGGGAAGGTCAGGCATTAATCCCAAGGCTGTGATGGGAAGGAGGAGGGTTTTTGATGTGTTTTGCTGCCCAGTAAGGCACTGATGATCCTTTAGGAAGATTTTTTTTAATGGTTTTGTTTTGTAGCAGCTTTTAGAGATCAGTTACTTTTCTTTTCACATCTGAAGTTGTAGTGCAATATAAATCCTTGTACAGTAGAGTAGCTTGAGGATTTGATTGTTTTTAAAATAATAATTAACTACACTGGAGAAGTCCAAAGATGGCCCAGCTTCAGAGCTGGGCTGTAATTTAAAAGGAATTAATGCCTTGAAAGTTGACTGTAAGCTGACCAAATCTCAGTTCATCTCCTCAAGTGGACATTCCCAAGAGTCCTTCAAGGGAAGGTTTTCAGGTTTTTTGGAGTAGGAGACATTGAGGTTCACAGTACCATAGGAATGGCATCAATGAATTTAGGCCAAAGGTACATTTTAAATCAGAAATTGTTCTCTTAGTGTCTTAAATTTCTGCTCTGGAGCTTGTTCAGAGCAGGCAGAGGCTGCCCTGGCTCTGCCCCTTGTGCCCTGTGGGAGCTCTGTGACCTTTTCCCTTTTACACTGCATTGAGGAATCAGAAATCCTTTGGGGTTTGGAGCTGGGGCTCACCTTGAGGGCCCTTCCAAAGGTGCATTTAAAATCGGAAATTGTTCTCTTAGTGTCTTAAATTTCTGCTCTGGAGCTTGTTCAGAGCAGGCAGAGGCTGCCCTGACTCTGCCCCATGCTCTGCCCCTTGTGCCCTGTGGGGGCTCTGTGACTTTTTCCCCTTTTGAGGGAAGTCAGAAATCCTTTGGGGTTTGGAGCTGGGGCTCACCTTGAGGGCCCTTCCAAAGGTACATTTTAAATCAGAAATTATTCTCTTGGTGTCTTAAATTTCTCCTCTGGAGGTTCAGAGCTCACCTTGAAGACCCTCCCAAGGTGATCAGCCTTGCAGTGCTTTTTGCTGTCATTCCAGACAGGGATTCCTCCCTGCTGCTCCCAGTGGGAGGAAAACCTTGTGTGGCTGAGGGAGCTGGGTGTGCTGGACAGCCCAGAGCTCCTGGGGGTCTCAGGGCTGTTCTCCCCATCCCCTCAGGCTGCAGGAGCAGCCACCACAGCCTCCCCCACTGCAAACCGAGCAGGGCTTTGTTTGCTGAGCCCTTGGCACAGATCAAAACCATCAGATGCCTTTTGGGACCCCTGGGATTATTTACCAGGGGAGGGAGAGTCCATGAAAGGCTTAGAGAGAAGCTGGAAAACCAACAGAGCCCTGCAAAGGACCAAAGCTTCATGAGGACCAAAGCTTAAAGCTTTCCAGCCTTAATTCTATGGAAATAAACACTCCCACCTTAGGAAATTGTTGGGTTATTGGGTCACTCCTGGCCCAGGGGTGAGTTTCTAACTCCATTTTTCTACAGGAAAGCACTTTATGGGGGACTGCAGCAGCTCTCACCCTGTGAGCAGTCTGCTTACAATGTCACAAACCACTGGAGATCTCAAATGCTGAATTTTGTAGCGAGGAGCAGTTTGATAGATTTGCACAGAGATGTAAACATTTATTAGGAAAAATCAAAGAAATGCTGTTAATAACATTTTTATTCCTGCTACCAAAGTCTGGAGCTTTACTGGCAGAGCTGTCCCTTGTGGGCAGCCTGACCTCAACCAAGCCTTAGGAGCTGAGAGTCTTGCAAGACTTCAGGTCCTTTTATCTCATTTTAGTGTTACTTGAGCAGTGAGGGTGTTCTCTCCTTCCTGCTGCCCCCTCTGCTCAGAGTGAAGGTGGCCTTGGTGGTGGTTTCATTCTGAGTGGTGCTGCTTGGCCTTGCTGCTGCCTCCTGTGCCTTCTCGAGTGAGGAAGATGAAGGATTGATTTGTTTCCTCCTCGTGATTCCGTGGATCTCTGGCCAGAGGATCCTGTACCTCACTGATAAATTTGTATTTTAGACTTTTTCTCTGCTAGGAAGAGTGACCTGCACAGAACCAAAGCAATAAATAATATTATTCAGAAAATAATATTATTATTCAGAAAATAAATAATATTATGCTGTTAGCAGAGATGAAGCCTTAACACTTGGACAGCCTCCCTGGCAGCCTTTCTGTGCCAGTTCAGCCCTGGGTGTTGGGTGGAGCCCAAGCTGAGCCCAGGGCTCTGCTGTCCCTGGGGGGCTGCAGCTGTGGAGCCTCTCCTGGAGCAGAGGAGGGGGCACAGGGGGGTCCCAATCCTCCACCCCCTCAGCCTCAAAAGCCTCACCCAGCCCTCACACCTTGTTTTTATTGACAACACTCATTAAAGCCTTTGGTGTGGGGGGACTGGCATTTTACATCCTCAAGGGCCTTAAGAATCAAATCTATTGTTTGTTATTGAAGGATTTAATGCGTGTTTCCTGTTTGTACTCTCTGCTTTTAGCCCAGGTACTGTTTGTTTTTAAACACCTTTTGGTTTTATGGAACACTAAAATAAAGATACCTTAAACCCAGAGTTCTGAGCACTGTGTCTTTGTTCTGAAGGGCTTTGTCCCCTCCTTGTGCCTCTCTGCACATCCTCTGTGGCAGTACCAGCTGTGGCTTTCTCTGGGTCTGCATTGAAGGCACTTGAGACAGTAGTTCATGTTCAGACTCAGATTTTTATTATTTCTTCTCAGTAAAACAGTCTCACTACTGTGAGTTGGGCAGCTTTTATTAGAAGGCACAAAATGGCCAACAGTCTCTTGTTACAAGGTCTTTTAAGACTAAACTGTCCAATTAACAACCAGCGACCGCGGAGGGACTCGGGGTCCTCATGGCAGCGCTGGCCTCGCACTGCGGCGGGGATGGGAGGAGGAGTAGGCCGTCATGGCCCGGCTTCCTCGCCGAGGAGGCCGCGATGTCCGCTCGGTTCCGCTCCCCCCGCGCTCCCGGCGCCGCCGCCTCCCCGGGCATCCCCGGCGGAACTACCGGGGAGCGGAACGCAGCGTGCAGGGGCGGCGGCGCGGCCGGGCAGGAGTCGGGACGGACCGCGGGCCGTGTCGCTATTGGTGGGCTCGGGGCGGGCCGCGCCGCTATTGGCTGCTGGCGGTGCACCCACCCCGGTGCTCCCCCTGCGGGGCGGCGGCAGCGGCAGCGATGGCGGCGCGGGGCCAGTGCCCCGAGTGCGGCTCGGGGTCGCTGGTGGAGGACGCGCACTACGCGCAGCAGCAGCTGGTCTGTGCCGCCTGCGGCTGCGTCCTGTCCGAGGGGCTCCTCACCACCACCTACACCGACGAGGAGCATCTGCGGGGTGCGGTACCGGAACCGGGGTGGGGGGGTGCAGGACCGACGGTCCGCAGCTCGTTTGGGCCTCTCCGAGCTGTGCCTCTGTGCCGGGCACGGTCGGGTCAGACCGGTCAGACCCCTCTCTCCATCCCCCCAAACACCAGCGGGGTTTTCCACCCCACCCGCAGCAATTCCCGACCAGGTTTGGCTTGGAGCCGGTGATGAGCTTTAAATTTAATTAAATTGAAATTTTAAAATTCAAATTTAATTAATCTCTTATTGTTAAAAGAGATTATTAAAATCTCATTGAAACCTCTTAGAAAAGCTTTAAGTGAAATGCACCAGCCCCGACGCTGTTGCCTGGCTCTGTCTGGAGGGAATCCCCGGCTCAGAGGAGCTCCAAAAGCTCCCTTTTACGTGCTCTCAGTGCCCTCAAACAGTTCTGATCGCTGCAGGCCGATTCTGTGGGCACCTGCTGGCCCCAGATCCAGATGTCTGTGTCCCTGCATTCCTTGCAGGATTGACTGACTTCCCCCCCTGTTTTCCAGAGGTCGCCTATTCCCAGAGCACCGGCCAGAAGGAGCAGCTGAGCCGCTGCCTGCAGCGAGGTAAGAGCAGCTCCCCATCCTCCAGTTTGTTTCACCTCATTCTGACAGTGAAAAAGTGCCAAAAACCCCTGGACCTGAGCCAGGGGAGGGCCCTTGGTGCCTGCCTGCCCCGAGGGACTGTTTAGTGCCCTGCAGGGCTGGGTGAGTGCTGCCTGTTGTTGTCATTTCGTGTTGATTCAGTTGATCCTTCAGAGAAGCTTTAATAATAAAAGCTTTAATATAAAAATGCTTTAATAATAAAAGAAGCTTTAATATAAAAACCAGGGAATTGTTGAGACCCTGTGGGGGCATTCCCTGGTCTAAGGAGACACAAGAAGTTTCCCTCAAAAAGCTGTTAGACCCCATTGGCTCCTTCCCTTGTTCCTATGTCCGTTCCTATGTCCTTGAGGCACTCCTTCCCTATTCCCTGATTAGCCCTCACCTTTGTGAAACCAGGGACAGCCCCCAGGCCCCTGTAGGGAGAAAGCTACAGGGTGCTTTGTCTGTGTGTGGGTGCTTTTTCTGTGCTTCCTCTGTGTATGTGGGTGCTTCCTCTGTGTGTGTGGGTGCTTTTTCTGTGCGTGTAGGTGCTTTCTCTATGCTTTCTCTGTGTGTGGTTGCTGGGACCTGAACATTTCACCACACAGCTGAATAAAACATCCGTGGCTATTAGGCAAATGTCCTTTTTGCTTCCTTACCCTGGACTATGCCAGCAGCAATTCAGGCTGCTACAAACGGTTCTGAGCAGAAATTGCGATTCCTTTTTCCCCCACAGGGATCCGGCGGGTCCAGGACCTCTGCAAGGTGCTCAAGCTGCCAGCAGCCTTTGAGGAAACGGCTGTGTCCTACTTCCAGAGGGCCCTGGAGCTCCCTGCCTTCCACCTGGTCAGCCTGGAGAAGAAGGAGCTGCTGGGGGGCTGCTGTGTGCTGGTGACGTGCCGGCAGCGCCGCTGGCCGCTCACCATGGGCACCGTGTGCTCCCTGCTCTATGCCAAGCAGGAGCTCTTTGCCAGCGTCTTCCTGAGCCTGCAGAGGGAGCTGGGGCTCTCTGTGCCCGCCCTGAGCCTGGCAGACCTGGTGACAACACACCTGAGCAGGTGATGGGGCAGCCCTTGGCAGCCTTTTTTGTCCTGGCTGGGTGGAGGGGATGGGGTGTGACACAGCTCGGGCTGGGCTGGCTTTTGTCCCTCCCTTGTCACACCTGGGCTGTGATTCTCATCCTGCTCCATTCTCCTCAGAGAGGTGCTCAGGGAGGCACTGTGGATCAGGGGATCCCAGATCTCTGAGGTTGGAAAAGATCCCAATGCCCAAATTGTCAGCCAGCCCAGAGCACTGAGTGCCACCTCCAGGGATGGGGATGCCACCCCCTCCCTGGCAGCAATTCCAGTGCCTGGGAACCCTTTCCATAAACAAACTCCTCCTGGTGTCCTGGAGCAGCAGCCATGGCAGGAGCAGGGTGTGTCTTGTATTTGTGGGGTTCCCAGACAAAGGGAGGAATGATGCATCTGACTCCATGTTCTTAAAAGGCTAATTTATTATTTTATAATCTGTATTATATTAAAGAATGCTATACTAAACTATACTAAAGAACACAGAAAGGATACAGACAGAAGGCTAAAAGATAATAATGAAAACTCCTTACTCTCTCCTCAGAATCCAACACAGCTCGGCCATCACTGGCCAATAAGTCAAAACAATTCACATGAAACCAATGAAACAATCACCTACCACATTCCAAAGCAGCAAAACACAGGAGAAGCAAATGAGATAATATTGTTTTCCTTTTTCTCTGAGGCTTCTCAGCTTCCCAGGAGAGAAATCCTGGCAAAGGGATTTGTGGTGGTGTTCGCAGGGGTCTCAGGATGAGGGAAGGGATGAGAATCTTGACTCCATGTTTCAGAAGGCTGATTTATTATTTTATGATGTATATTACATTAAAAGAAAATGATATACTAAAAGAATAGAAGAAAGGATTTAATCAGAAAGCTAGCAAGGAAAGGAAAGAATGATAATAAAATCTTGTGACTGACCAGGGAGTCTGAGACAGCTGGGCTGTGATTGGCCATTAATTAAAAACAACCACATGAGACCGATCAAAGATGCACCTGTTGCATTCCACAGCAGCAGATAATCATTGGTTTTCTTTTCCTCTGAGGCTTCTCAGCTTCCCAGGAGAGATTTTTCCAGAAAATGTGCCGGTGACAGTTGTGTTTGTCCCCGAGGCTCCCCCTGACCGTGGCTCTTTTCCCCCGCAGCTTCCGGCTGGTCCAGCCCAACGCCAACATCCCTGCGCCCTTCCTGGAGGACAAGGAGCAGCTGGTGGCCCGGACCATGGCCATTGTGGAGCTGGCCAGTGACACGTGGCTGGTGACCGGCCGGCACCCGGTGCCCGTGGTCACGGCCGCGGCGTTCCTGGCCTGGCAGTCGCTGCGGCCCGGCCCGCGCCTCTCGTGCCCCCTGGCACGGTTCTGCCGCCTGGCAGGGGTGGAGCTGCCCCCTCCAGCCCAGCTGAGGCTGAAGGAGCTGCTGGAGATCCTGCTGGCCATGGCCTCCCAGCTCTCCTGGCTGCGTGGATTCTGCCTGGACAAGAAGACGGTGGTGAAGCACATCGGGGACCTGCTGCAGCACCGGCTGTTCCTGCTGAAACGCGCCTTCAGCCAGCAGGACACGGGCCTGGGCATGAGCTCTGTGAGCCAGGAGTGCCAGGGCTCTGCGAGCCAGGGGTGCCAGGGCTCTGTGAGCCAGGAGTGCCAGGGCTCTGTGAGCCAGGGGTGCCAGGGCTCTGTGAGCCAGGACTCTGTGAGCCAGGGGTGCCAGGGCTCTGTGAGCCAGGGGTGCCAGGGCTCTGTGAGCCAGGGGTGCCAAGATTCTGTGAGCCAGGGGTGCCAAGATTCTGTGAGCCAGAGCTGCCCAGGCCAGGGCTCTGAAAGCCAGGGCTCCCTGGATAAGGACTCTGTAAATAAGGACTCTCCAGGCCAGGACTCTGTGAGCCAGAGATGCCTGGGCCAGGATTCTGTGAGCCAGGGCTCTGTAGACCCAGGCTCCCTGCATAAGGACTCCCCCAGCCAGGGCTCTGTGAGCCAGGGCTCCCTGGATAAGGACTCTGTGAATAAGGACTCCCCAGGCCAGGGCTGCCCAGGCCAAGGCTCTGTGGACCCAGGCTCCATGGATAAGGATTCTCCAGGCCAGGATTCTCCAAGCCAGGCCTCCATGAGCCATGTCTGCCTAGGCCAGGGCTCTATGAGCCAGGGCTCTGTGCACCCAGGCTCCCTGGATAAGGACTCTGTGTATAAGGACTCCCCAGGCCAGGGGTGCCCAGGCCAGGGCCTCCCCAGCTCTCCTGCGGTGCCACAGCAGCAGGGCTGTCCCTGGGCAGGGCAGCAGCAGCAGAGGGGCACCCTGAGGCCCCTGCTGCCCCCCTGCCTCCTCCACCCCAGGAAGAGGCTGCGGGCGGCGGCTCCGAGCGCTGCGAGCGCGGCCCTGACGGGCGACGAGCCCATCTCAGACAGCGAGATCGAGCAGTACCTGAGGAGCCCCGAGGAGATCCGAGCCTTCAGGAGGGCCAAGGCTTGGTCCTGAAGGTTGCTGTGACCCAGAGGGACAATTTGGGGACCAGAAGTGTGAAGCCCACCAGGGACAGAGTGATTGTGCTGCAGGGACAGGGAATGAGGCTGTGGGGAGGGAGCAGGCTGTGTCCTCCTTAATGTGCTGGGGCTTTTTATGGAGTGACTGCTTCAGGTCATGTTACATTTCTGTTGTAAGTAAATAAAAGCACAAAAGGTGCCAGGTTTTTCCAGGGCAGCCTCACCTTGGGCTTCTCATTCTTCAGCAGAATGACTTTGTGTGGGTCAAAACACTGCATTTGAACACAAAGTCTGAGAGAAATCACAGTAGCTCTTGGCAGATTGGCATATCTTTAATATATTAAACAAAACATATCTGCTAGAAACATTCTATTCATATAAAAATGCAAAAAGACCCCTTTAAAGACATTTCTTTGGCATATTTCCCTCCCCTCCCCCCGGATATTGCAGGAAGCTCTGTTGATATGTCATTCGCTTGTAAACACACAAAGTGTAATTAAGAATACAAAGCTTTTTCTCTAATACTGTCACAATGCAGCAAGCAGTAGAACCACGGGGCATCAGCCAGGCTGGGGAGGCTGCAGGAAGGGTTTAAACTGTGTTAAATACCGGGGACAATGAAATATTTAAACATTTAACTGGGCAGAGAAGCCGAGGCAGGCAGGGAGTGGCAGGTTAAGCCCAGGGGTGCCCCAGCCCCGTGGGGTGAGTGGTTCCCAGGTGACACCAAGCCCCACTTAGTGCTTTTTTCCTCCCCTGGCTCGTGGCCCTGCCAGCCCCACAACCCCTCGGAGGTAGCTACGTCATTAAACTCATTTGCAGGCGGGGGAAACTGAGGCAGGGGAGGCTGGAAAGGGCAGGGGAGGCACCAGGCTACCACCTTCCTCCTCTGCTTTGCTGCAGCCTCTCTGCAGCCTGGCTGTTTTACCTGTGTGCTAGGAAAAAAGGGGGAATTTGTTTTCCAATGGGAACAATAAGTGCTTATCCAGGTTCCAGCCCTTTGACCGTCCGAGGAAGATCCCCAATTCCTTGGCATCGTTCTCTTGCATTCCCAGGAACGGTCCCTGCTCCCCAGAATGGTCTCTGCCTTCCTAAGAGCAAACCTAGTTTTTTTCTGAGCTTGAAGCCTGGATTAAGGACACAGAGCTGCTCTGGGCCTCTCCCACATCTTGGTTCTTTGGTGCTTTGGCACAGAGAGTCAGTCCTGGCAGCAGCACAGGTCTGCCAGCTCACCCCACTGCATGGCTTGAGCCTCTGAGGGCCTGGGAGCATTTTCTGGCTGTGGTTTTAGTGTCTGGAGCCTTTTCAGGCCCTTATTTTAGTGTCTGGCATTAAAGCAGTGCAGACAATCACCTCACCTTGGAGCTGAGGCTCCTCTTACCTTGTGCTTGGCTTTGCAATATGGCTTTGGCACGGCGCAGCCCCCAGGGCTGGCACAGCAGGAACGTTCCAGAGGCAGCAGCTGCTCTCCAGAAGCAGTGTGCTCATCCTGGGGCTGTGCTGCCTGCACGTGAAGGGCACTTGGAGTGGTCCCTCGGCGGGAATATTGCAGTCGTGGCACCCGGGGCCGGGAGCGAGGCCCTGGCGTCACCTACGGCTCTGTCTATACATATATACATTCAATAATATAGCTTTGAAAAATAGACATTTCCTCTGTAGAATATAAAATAGCATTTAGGATCAATCTCAAGTGACATGCAGGAGTCATTAAAGCACGGCTGCAATTCCGGCACCGCTGCTGGAAAAGCTCGGAGCCTCCTCGGGGAGATGGGTGGGCCCGGGATCGTGCTGTGCCCCCCGGCTGTGCCGCCCATCCCTGCTCTAGTGCACGAGGAAAACGGGAGAACACGGCGGCCGTTGGTCCTTCCCCACCTTCACACGGTGGTTTCACTCTTCCAGAGGCCGGTCTTCATGCCGGCCACGCTGTCGGCGCTGGCCAGGTTGATGTCGTACTTGCTGCCCTTGAGGCCGCCGTTGTGGCTGCCCACGTTGAGGGGGTAGGAGCGCCGCTTCGCCTCCCTCTCGCCACCGCCTGGCCGCAGGTTGTCCCGGCTGCCGCTCCTCCGGCGAGCCTCGGTGATGTCGGGCATCCTCCTCCCTCCATCGCTGCCCTCCGAGGGGCTGGGGAGCGCGTCCCCGTCCTGCGGCATCCCCATCCTGGCCGGGCTGGTCCTGCCGCTGGGGTAGCTCTCGGAGTGGCTGTTGTGGAGGCTGCCGCTCTCGCTGGACGGATGCTCCGAGGGGCCCCGCAGCATTTTCAAGCGGTGATGCTTCCCGTCCCGGCACGGCTTAGTTCTGCCGCGGTGGCTCCTGCGGCCGTGCAGGTTGCTGCTGTGCCTGACGGGCTTCCCGTCAGCAGCGTCGGGCTCCGGGCAGGGCGGCGGCCGCGATTCCGCCTGGCTCTGGGCCACCTGCAGGTTGGTGAGCTTGCAGCGGCCCCCGGCAGAGCCGGCGCTGCTGGGTGAGGAGGAGGAGGAGGCTCCGGAGCGAGCGGCCTCTGGCTCGCAGCCGATGAAGACCTGGGAGCCGTCCTCCGGCCCCAGCCCGGGGTGCACGTAGGCCTGCATGGGCAGCGCGTTCCGGTAGGACGGGCAGCAGGAGAACCAGGAGCTGAGCACGTCCCGGCGCCGCAGGCAGTGATGGATGAAGATGAAGAGCCCCAGCGCCACGGCGGTGACGCCGTAGAGGCAGCTGAAGACGATGCTCAGGTACCAGCGCTGCGACACGGCCATGGCGCCGAACGTCCACAGGGCCACGTACAGGGCGTGGGTGGCCACCAGAGCCCAGAACTGCACCCGCAGAGAGTAAACACCGTCCCCCTCGGGGCAGGGTGGCCCCGAGTTCAGCGTCACCGAGATGGAGCCAGAGTCTGTCAGGAGGTCACCGGTGGCCCCCAGTCGCGGCGGGGGCTCCAGCGGCTCCGGGATGTCTTTCTGGTGCGAGGGGCGGCACTGGAGGCTGAGCCCGGCACAGAGGAAATAAATCCAGGTGACGAGCAGGATGAAAGCCACGGGGACGTAGAAAGCGCCCAGGCTGGGCCGCCACACCAGCCAGCAGCTGTGTGGGAAGGAGAGGAGCTCTGAGGGGCCTGGAGCTGCTCGGCACCCCTGCCCTCATGGCAGGGCTCTGTGGAGCTCTGCTGGCTGCCTGGACGATTTTTTCCCAGTAACTCTCAGGAAAAAACTCACTGATCTTTTCCCAAACTTCTCCAGATTCCCAGTGCCACCAGTTCCCTGCCCCAGCAGAGGAAGGCGTGGGAGGGAGGGAGGAAGGGTCGAGCAGGGACACACTTACTAGGGGTTGTTGTCGTGGTAGTTTTGGATGTTGACAGCTGCTGTGATCCCACAGATGATGAGGGGGATCCCGCCGGCGATCAGGTAGAACCTGCAGGGAGGGGAAATGTCAGCGCACACCTGGAGAGCACGGCATGGGCTGGTCCAGGGGAGCAAGTCCCACCCCAGCCCCTTGAGCCTCTGAGGGCCTGATGGGGATGTTGAAGTTATTGATGAACGTATTTTGAAGTTTATGATGAACTTTCATTCCCAGAAGGAGGTGAGGCTTTCTGTTCCGGAGTGGATATAAATTGTTATTGGGATTAGGCTGATTAAGAAGGAAGTTTTGACTGTGTTTATGATTGTGCTGGGGGTACTTTTGAGGTTGTTGGATATTAGAGGGAATAGGATGTGGGTGAGACAGTTGCTGGAGGTGCTGGGGCAGGGGGTTAGGGGGCTCTGTACCGCAGCATGGGTCTGGGGGCTGCCTGGGACGTGTCCCTGTCCGGCTGCTGCGGCGCCTTCCAGGTCAGCTCCTTGTAGAGCACTCGGGCTTTCACCGCCATCCAGAGCAGCGTGGAGAGGGACGAGTAGTGCAAGATGATGCCGACCTGCGGGAGGAGGCGGCGGTTGGGGCGGGGATGCCGCAGCCCCCGGTGCCCGGTGTCCCGCGGGACCCCGCGGGGCTGGCACTGCCCGGTACCCACGGCCTGGCACACGGCTCGGTAGCCGGTGAGGGTGATGCCTCCCGCGAAGACAGCGGCCGTCATGGCGATGTGGAAGCACAGGTTAAGCAGCATGTGCCAGCCCTTCCGCGGGATGAGGATGGTGCTGCAAGAGCAAGAGCACAGAGGGCACCTGTGAGCTCCTGCCCGGCCCCGAGAGAGCCACAAATGCTGCACCTGGGGCAGGCACCAACAGCCTGGAGGATGGACAGATACATTTCTGCACACAGGCAAAGGAGCAGCACCCAGGGCCACTTGCTGGGCTCATTCCCTGAGAATGTGCTCCCTCACTGTCCTGAGAACCCCTGTCCTCAAGGGCCATGTCACTACACAGCCATGCCCATATACCTTCTCCTGGCTTGGGGAGAAGCAGCTGGGAGCTGGGGCACCTGGGGAGCTGCTCCCACTGCCCACAGACACACCCAGCCCAGCCCAGGCCAGCCCCCAGAGCAGCAGCACAGGCACCGGCCACTCCCTCACCCGTGGTGGACGATGTAGGTGATGATGGTGGTGAAGAGGCAGAGCAGCAGCACAGCCGTGCAGGTGTACATGGCCGGGTGCAGCACCTCCACAGCTCCTTGTGCCTCGCTGGGGAACCCACTGAGCTCCTGCACAGCACAGCACAGCCCGTCAGACCCCACAGCAGCAGCCCTGTGCCCCTGACCCCCTCCACCACCACCCTCCTGCTGGTGTCCCTGCTGCTCTCCCCACACCTACCATGAGCACGGCCACGTTGCTGAGGTGCCGGCAGTGCAGGGAGGTGACGTTGGGCTCACGGGCAGCCAGCTGGCACCCCTCAGCACTCCAGCCCCCCATGCCCCCCAGCACGTCGAAGTTCCAGTAGGCAGCCACGGGGTCCGTGCCCTCCCCGGGGTGTCGCAGGGACACAGCCACCGGCTCGGACAGGTTCCCCACTCCACAGCCATCTGCAGCCACAGAAAACCAGCTCAGCAGCACAAGTGACACCCCTCTACCTGCACCCCCAGAGGGCCTGAGCACAGGGGACATCCCACACATCGCCACCTCCCCGTGAGGACCCCGGGGATGGCTCTGCACTGCAGGAGCACCAGCACAATGCCCCAGGGAGCCCCACGGGGCACCCCAAGCACCAGCACAATGCCCCAGGGAGCCCCACGGGGCACCCCAAGCACCAGCACAACGCCCCAGGGCGCACCCCAAGCCCCCCACCATGCTGCCCTTACAGGTCCCGGCGTA